GTTGCCAACCTTTCCTGCTGGACCCAGAATGGAGTCAAGCCTGTCTGGCAGCAGAGAGCAAGCAGTGGTATTTATTATGTGGGGTAACAGCAGGTCTGAAGATGTGTAAGAAATCCACCGAAGAGATTCAAGATTCAGTGAAGGAGTTTCCTTTTCATTGTGACCCATGACAAGGGATGCAAAGTGGACCCAGTGCCATTTCCATTTTACAAAGCAAAACTGATGTGCTGGCAGGAGCTACTCTCCCTTCTACAACTAAGGTTTGTTTGTTTGTTTGTTTGTTTGTTTTCCTCTCTTACATTTCTGATTTGGTTATTCCCAGCACACGGCACTTTCTTGGGTCACATTCGGTTGGAGCCTCACAAGCCTCAGCAAATTCCCATCGATTCCACGGTCTCATTTGGTGCATCCACAAGGGCATACACTCTGCGTGAGAAGCCTCAGACATTGCCATCGGCTGTGAAAGGAGATGAGAAGATGGGTGGAGAGGATGATGAACTCAAGGGCTTACTGGGGCTTCCAGAGGAGGAAACAGAGCTTGATGTAATTCCATTGTCTATGTCATTGTTATGTCTTTTGGGACTCTGGCTTTTGCAGTATGTAGCTGTTCTGTGTAGTTTGAAATGCCAGTGACTTAGCAACTGGAGGTTTTCTTGAGCCCAGTGATAAGCCTTTGCCACTTTGGCAGTGTGGTGTGGCCCTTGGAGAGCTGCATTGTGTGGGTTTGGTTATGTATAACCAGGGCTAACTAGGAGACTGGGTCTCCTGCCAGTAGACCCTTATGGTTGTCTTGTGCACTTTCAGTGGATGTTAAAAGCCAAGGCTGGGAGTTACATTTCTCTAGAGCTGCGCTGTCCAGTGCAGTAGCCACTAACCACATTCCAAGTACTCAGTAATCACATGTGGCTAGTGACTAACCATATTGAATAGCACTGATAGAAAACATTTCTATCATCCAGAAAGTTTGTTTGAACAACACTACACTACAACACTTACAGAGATTGAAGCTTTCATTCATTTATGTAGCTCTTTTTGATATTGTCCAGTCAGCCCAAGAATCTTCTGAGTAGAACTTAAGATTACTTTTGCTCTGGGCCTGGCTGCCCTGAAGGCCATGAATTTTACAAGATTTAATTTTAATGTGCGAAGGTTTTCTTTTCTAGAGCTGACCCCAGTAGTTTGTGATGTAGCTTTTGTCTTCACATGTCTATCACTGCATTGGTGTGACTGGTCTATCCAGGTAGATAAAACGCCAGCCTGTCCTTAACCACCCACATGCATTTACTATTCTTGTATACCGAGACAGTTTCCCAGCCCTTAGGAAGAAAAGCACTTTTGCAGTCTTACAACTTAGAAGTTATTTTGTTCTAAAGAAGTAGCCTCATAGCCAGGGACCTGGTTGGCAGTCACTCTTGCACATTCTCTTCCAGGCTGCTTCCATGCCTTCCTGTCTTTTAGTTCAGTATGTTAGGTCATCTCTGGGTCCTTGTTCTCAAGACATTTGGGATGTCTCAAACTGCAGTACAGATTGGAATAAGTCCAGGTGATTGGGAAGAGGCAGGCAGCAGTGATGAGGCCAAGTTAATCACTGAGATGGATAGATAGTTATGAATAGAAATGGGGCCAGATGAAGGGATGGGGAGTGACAAAACATTAATGCCAGATATTCAGTGCACTGGTAACGTCCTTACAAGTTTTAAAGGAGAGAGCTACTGGGAAAGAAGCTGTCAATTGTCCTTTCTCATCTCTGTTACTTAAAAACAATTCTTGGATTTCTTCCCAGTTGTATTCCTTTAATTCTCAGCATGAAGACATGATAAACTTTCTTCAAAAAAACCCAAAACCTCAACTCAAGGGTTTTTGCACAGATGACCTGTCTTCAGCTCAAGGTCCTTCACTCCCTTTTGAATATCACTGCCGCACTAGTCAATGAAGATGTTCCACATTCTGTCAAATTGAGGCTTGCTGATATTAGCTGTCTAGGGACGGTAATGAATCTTTTCTGAATGCAGAAAAGAATCTCATCTGTGTGGAGAGGTCAAGGTTAGCTCCTAATACCTTCCTGCCCTTTATTTGGTAATATTCTCCTTCAAATTCCTTGTGTACTTATTCCTGTCTTTCCTGTGTGAACCCTGTCCCAGAACCTGACGGAGTTCAACACTGCCCACAACAAGCGGATTTCCACTCTCACCATTGAGGAGGGGAATCTGGACATTCAGAGACCAAAGAGGAAGAGGAAGAACTCACGGGTGACCTTTAGTGAGGATGATGAGATCATCAACCCAGGTGAGGTATCTTCCTAGTTTTTTCTGATGAAAAAGCTGTGATGTCAGAGAGTAGTGTACACAACCTGTAGGTCAGTTGTAATGTTTCTATACAAGGTTTAGGATAACAGGTGCTATGTTGAGAGGAGATATTTTTGTACAGAACAGGCATACCTTGGAGATATTGTGGGTTCAGTTCAAGCATTGCAATAAGGCAAGTCATGAATTTTTTAGTTTCCCAGTACATGTAAAAGTTACGTTTACACAACTTCAATCTGTTAAGTGTGCAATAGCATTATGTCTAAAAAAGACAATGTACGTACCTTAATTAAAAAATACTTTATTGCTAAAAGATGCTAACCAAGCTAGTCTGAGCCTTCAGTGAGTTGTAATCTTTTTGCAATAGTAACAACAAAGATTGCTGATCACAGAGCACTGTTACAACTATAGTAATAATGGAAAAGTTTTAAATATTGTGAGAATTACAGAAATGTAACACAGAGACACGAAGTGAATGAATGCTGTTGGGAAAACGGCACTGATAGACTTGCTTGATGCAGGGTTTCCACAAACCTTCAATTTATAAAAAACTCAGTATCTGTGAAGTGCAGTAAAACAAGGTATGCCTGTACATTGATGGAGTACCCTGAAACTCAGGCATTATCCAGTTGCAGTGTGAAAGAAGTAGATGGAGGAAGGCTGTAATTCTCCTTTGCTGATCCAGGTATAGTGGAGTTTAAGTATAGGTCAGAGCAGACACTATTGTCATGGGGTTCCATGTATGATTGGTAACTCTAAGATTGGAGAACTTTCTGCTACTATTAATCGCATTGAAGACTTGCCTCTGTAAGGTCGTAATTTATAGATAGTTTGTATGGAAACATCAGCAAGATGAGAGCATCAGTTTCTGGGAAGGCCATTGAGTTTACCCATTTGTTCCATCATTCAACATTCATTTATTGGGCTCATGTTATATCTCAAGTACTCTGGGAGGTGGATGGCATGGAGCTGGGAGGTGCAGTTTATACAGTGAAGATGGAATTGGGATTCCAAAAATCTTGTTTGAAAATAAACCTTCATGGATGGAAACAAGGATCCCAAACTAACAAGTTGCTTTTATATCCCAAATTGAAATGCAGTGAGAATAACTTTCAAGTCCTGCATTTAGTTTCAGAATGTCAATTATTTAAATGGAAAAAATCTGCTCCAGTGACAGCTCATGTTAAAAAAAAGGTATAAGGATTTTAGTTAGTTAAAAATGCAGTCTGAGTCATCAGGGGGATGTGGAAACTAATCAAGTACAGTTTAAAATTGCATTAATAGAATAATGGGGGACAGTAACCCGGTGGCCTGTGTTCTGAGCAGAACTCACCCAAATGTGTTACTAAATGCAAGCATAGCCTTAAGTACTAAATGTGTTATGTAGTCTTGAGGGAAGGAGGAGACTCCCAGCTATGGAAAGTGGTCCCTAAGTGCTGGGAACTGTACATGAGGGACAGTAGATTGGAGGGAGGCACCCTGAGGTGGATGTTTGCAAGGCTGACCTTCAGGAGGAAGGAGTAGGCGAAACCAGAGCCTGTGAGTAGCAAGTATTTGACTCAGCATGAAAAGCAACAACAAATCCTTCTTATATTTAGAAGAAGAATTAAAAGAATTCCTGTGAAAGAGATTGGGGCATTCATTCTAGTGACTTTTGTTCACTTTTTGATGATGGGTGAAGTGGAATGAATTACTTCTCAAAGTACTGAATGCCCAAGGGAAATGTTTGAGCAGGAGCTGGATGACCTGGATGACTAATCTGGGAAGTTTATTTCTGAGTGCCAGATAAGAGTTTTAGGGGTTGGACCTAGACATTTGTAGTTTTTTAATAAGCTCCTGTTTGTACTGATGAACAGCCAACAGTTTGGGAATCACTGAACTAGGTAATTTGTTAAGTCTCTTTCAGGACTCGGGGTCTGATATGTTCTGTTTTTCTCCTTGAAAATAATTGTGGGACTTCCTGGCGATTCAGTGATTAAAACTCTGCACTCCCTGGCTGGGGAACGAAGATCTCACATGCCGCACGGCATGCCCCAAAAAAAGAAAAAGGAAAAAAAAGAAAATTATTGTCCTGCAGCTTTATTAAGGCAGTACGTTCAGACAGAGTATGGCATAGTGTTTAAGAGCGTGGGCTCTGATCAGAGGGCCTAGGTATGAAATCCACCTCTCCGCTTAGTAGCTCTGTGACCCTGGCCAGTGACATGACTACTGGTCTCAAGATTGGTGGGGAGATTAAATGATTGATATATGTGAAAATACCTCATATCTGTGCTTGGCACTCAGTAGCCCTTGATAAGTGTTAGCCATTGTCCTCATCATCATCTGCCACCCCTTTTGCCTTTACCTATGCAGACTTTCCTATACTAGAAGTAGACTTAGCAAGAAACTTCTTGGTAGATCTTCCAGGAGCAGAGATTTCCTGCAATGGGCAGACCCCCTCTCTAGGAGTCGAATGGCTAGAGAATGAGGAGAGGGTGAGAGGCCTGAGCACCATTCAGCCAGCACAGGACAGGGTCCCCCAGATGGCTTAGCCCCCACTTCCACAGGCCTCTTGTGTTTGTGGGCCACATACCCCGTTAGCCATGCCTCTTGGGCTCCAGTTGCTCTTGCACTTGATTTAGCTTTCCTGAAGGGATGATTGGAGCAGGGCTGTTATGGTAATGAGAGAGAAAATAAGGGTGCCTTTTTAGAGACCTTCTCTCCTTCCTGATGAGCCTGGATATCTTTTCCTCTTTCTTCTTCCATATAGAAGCTATTCATTCATTAACATCGATTGTTTGTGAAAATAATTCCAGGGTATATTCCTTAGAGGCATCCTAATATGTGAAAAGCCAGACTTAAAACAAATAAACCAGGGACTAATTATTCAAATTAAATAAGGAATCTTTGTATTCCAGAGGGACTCACAAGAGTGTTTCTTTAAATAGCAAGTGTCCTCAACACATTAAAATAAGGTGTACAACATCTATTAGGGAAACAACTCCTTTCCTACCACTATATTAAGATAAAAGGGCCCTGGAGTAGTTTTTTCTAGTAATGATAATAAGTCTATGCTTGCCTGTTTCCCCACACTCAGTCTTCAGTGAGAAAACTGTTCATTCTAGGTGATCCAGCCCAATCTCCCCTCTGTGCCCCAAGAAAACTATTTTTGCACCACTCTTCAAGCACCTCCATTGTATTCTAGCCTGTCTGGCTTTACAACTGTGAACTCCTTACAGGCAGGACGGTGTCTTGCTCTTTATTTCCATGCCTGATGTCCAATAAATGAGAGACTGACTGACTACGAGCGTGTCCCTTACTTGGTCTTAGTGCATTCTTCTGGCACAGTGAATGAATGAAGCTAGAAGCTTCGTAGGGTGCAATAGTGTGTGTATAAGCTGTGAAAAGGGAGCCGCTGTCCCACCCTGCCTGGACAGGGGCTTCAGATCCTTTAGTGAGTCTTAATTGTACAGGCATACCTTGGAGGAATTGTGGGTTTGGTTCCAGACCACTTCAGTAAAGTGAATATCAAAGCTAGTCACACATATTTGTTTGGTTTGTCAGTGCATATAAAAGTTACGTTTACATTATATTGTAAACTGTTAAGTGTGCAGTAGCATTATGTCTACAAAAGCAATGTACTTGTTTCTTTACAATGCCTTAATTACAAAATACTTTATTGCTGAAAAATGCTAACCATCATCTGATAATGCACGGTTGCCACTAACCTTCAATTTGTTGTTTTTTTTTAAAAAAAAAACAATATCTGCAAAGCACAGTAAAATGAAACTCAATAAAACAAGGTATGCCTATATACAGTTGTTCAGGTTGAAAGGCGAAGTTAAGCTAGAAGCCTTGGGTCTGAATCCTAATTCTGTTATTTGCTAATGACCGGGTGTTAGCAAGGTATGTGGTGTGTGACCTCTTTTTATCACTAAAATGAGATTATTAAATGTTTATTGTAGTGGTACTTACCTCGTAGGGTTGTTGTGAGGATTTAACACAGTACCCAGTAAACACATGAAGTGTTAGCTGTATTTTACTGTTTTAATATGAATTACTGTGATTGCTTTATTCGCATTGAGCCGTATAACCTAATCCTCCCAGTTGATTACTGAACTAACCCTGCCCTCGTGTCTTTTTGCAGAGGATGTGGATCCCTCAGTTGGTCGCTTCCGGAACATGGTGCAGACTGCAGTGGTCCCAGTCAAGGTAGGAAGCATGTTGTGACAGTATTTGAAATGTCATATAGTCTGGTTTAAAAACCCACTCTTTTATATGTAGGTAAGTGTTAAGTGTGTGCTTAATTTTAAAACATTCTTTGCTCCTTTCCCATTTTTCATACTGTGGAAATCCATTTACCCCATCTGTGTGTAGGCATTCTGGAGTGCCATAGAGAGGCTGCAGGTGACCAGCTAGCTTGATCCTGCATGTAAATTATGGTGTGATGTGGGTCTGTAAATTTACCTCTCAGCAGGGTGCAGAGAGACCCACCTTTCTTTAACCTTCCCTTCTTGACTCAAAGTAAGCTATTAGGCAAAGAAGAGACATTGTTGCATTTCTGCATGGCGTCTCTGGCCTTTACCACATCTTTATTTTGTGAATGGGGATGGCACAGATAGGAAAGCCAGCCCACATTGGATTAGGTTTAAAGAGCAGCTCTGTTGAAGAACCAAGAGGTGGAAATTACAGAGATGTTCTGATTGCTCAACATGTGGAGAACCACCTGCCAGCTAGGGCTCCAAAAGGGAACAAATGGCCCCAGGAAGTAGATCCCTATTAGTAGAGGTATTCAAAATGTGATTGGAAGATGCTGGTCAGAGATGCTATAGGGAGTTTTATTTTTTTAAAAATCTTTAGAGGGCTTCCCTGGTGGCACAGTGGTTGAGAGACCGCCTGCCGATGCAGGGGACCCAGGTTGGTGACCCGGTCCGGGAAGGTCCCACATGCCGCGGAGCGGCTGGGCCCGTGAGCCATGGCCGCTGAGCCTGCGCGTCCGGAGACTGTGCCCCGCAATGGGAAAGGCCACAACAGTGAGAGGCCCGCGTACCGCAAAAAAAAAAAAAAAAAAAAATCTTTAGAATATATTAGAATAGATTGATAAAATGTGTCAAGTTCATGCTAAAGGAGTAGAGGGGTGAGGGAGGATCTTTCATTGAACTTTAGTCCAGTGTGAAAAAGTATAAGATGAAATTTTTCCATACAACTCCATAGTATTTGTGTCACATTTCCCCTTGGACACTTTTCTCTTTTTTCTTCACCCTTTGGAATTTTCTGTTGTCTATAAAGTATAATTTGAATTTTGACAGATATATACACCTGGGTAACCACCACCATAATCAAAATACAGATTTCCATCACCCCAGAAAGTTCCCCTGTGTCCCTTTGCTGTCAGTTTCCTCCTACCCCCAGGCAACCAGTAAGCTGCTTTCAGTCACTACAGATTTTTTCTGCTCTCAGATTAATGTTTAAAAATTAGGTGCCCAACAGGAAGATACTAACTTTTAATTTTCCTCCAAAAAAAGAAAAATTGAAATACTTACTCCCATCTGTTATCACCTCTGATTCCTGAAATGGCATTTTAACATTGAAAAAAAGAGGGAGGAGTATGACCTTAGGGTAAAGAATGGTCACTTAAACTGGATAAGTCTTACTTTATGAAAAGTTCACACACTAGCCTCATTTTTCTCAGTTTGACGTAGGATGGTGACCACTTTGTGTGGGGCAGTGTTTGGGAGCCATGATGTTAGATGACCACTGTAAGGTCTCTTCAAACCCTGAGATTTCAGGACCGTGAGATGGGTTGTTTAAGAAACAAAACAAGTTAGAGGTTTAGGGACCTTCCCCCGTTTTTTGAGGACTGCAATAGAACAGGCTAACAGCACTCTTGTGTCTCACTTCTTGTCTTCTCTATAAACCACAGAAGAAGCGGGTGGAGGGCCCTGGCTCCCTGGGCCTGGAGGAATCAGGGAACAGGCGCATGCAGAACTTTGCATTCAGTGGAGGACTCTATGGGGGCCTGCCCCCCACGCACAGTGAAGCCGGCTCCCAGCCGCATGGCATCCACGGGACAGCACTCATCGGTGGCTTGCCCATGCCATACCCGAACCTCGCTCCTGACGTGGACTTGACTCCCGTCGTGCCGTCAGCAGTGACCATGAACCCTGCACCAAACCCTGCCGTCTATAACCCTGAAGCTGTCAACGAACCCAAGAAGAAAAAATATGCAAAAGAGGCTTGGCCGGGCAAGAAGCCCACACCTTCCTTACTGATTTGATATTTTTGGTAATGGAGGAGGGTGGGATTGGGTGGGAACAGGGTGGAAGGGTGATGGGGGAGCTAATGAATTAGGGAGAAAAACTTTCCATGTGTGCAGTATCGTCTTTCAGAATGTCTCCTGGGGTCCTAAGCATGTAATATTAAAACTGGGGGTGGGGTTGAAGTATCCCAGAAAGACCTGTCTTCAGAGCACTTTCATTGAAGAGCAATGGTTCATACATCCTTTTAAATAGACTGCCCTGGCTCTTTTCCACTCTTTCCATTATCTCCTTTTTTCTTTTCTCCCTCTTTCTAGGATCACTTTTAAAAAAATCATTTACCCCAGGGAGAGACTCCAGGCCCTCAGGTTGAATGTAGAGCTGTGGAGGTGACAGTAGCATTGCCAGCTTTGTGGGTTTAGCAGCCTGATTTATATTTACTATCCTGCAAGTCCCAGGTAGCAGAAGGGTTGCCACGGATTCTAGGTTAACAAGAGGGTTTAGAATGCTTCAGTTAAGCTAAGGTTTAAAACAACTCAGAAGTTTTCCTGGGTCGGTGGTTTTGAGGTCCAGTAGTTAGGCTTTTCTCTTTTGTCCTTTCTGTTAGAATGAGAACATTTTGATTTTTCTCCATCTGTGACCAGTGCCATAGACACAGGTTGATAGTTTTAAACTTACAGTATTGTTTGAACTTTACCTGTTTTTCTTGTCAAACCTGAGTACTCCACTTGCTGAAGTTTCTCATTTGATTCCAGAGTACTGTCCTCTACTCTCTAAGGCATTACTTTCAAGTGTGTTATGAAGGCAATATAAAGGATATGACCAGTTAGAGCAATTTCAATTAAAAAGGAAAAGATTTTACTTTGAAGTAACGGATATCTCGAAGAGGACATTTTCGGATGTTGATTTGGAGGCTCTTTCCCCCCTTGACCGAGAGCTCTCGTTGTCCAGAGCTCCAAGACTAGACCTGGTTAACAAACATAGGAGACAAAGGTAGGACACATAGATGTGAGCTTTGTACAGAGATTTGTACATTTGTGTAATAGGGCTTTTCACGCTTTATGTGTAGCTTTTTACCTGTAACCTTTATTACATTGTAAATTAAACGTAACTTTTGTCATTCGGGTGCAGTCTGTGATTCAGTTGCCATCACCAATTTCTACTGCCATTAGGGAATATTTGTCAATACAGCTGTCAGGCTTGGGAGGTGATGCTCTGTCCCCATTTTATTACTACAAATAAAGATGCCCCCTGATGAACGTGGAAATTCTAATTAGAGATTCCAGTCCCCAGACTGAAGCCTCAGCGAGCAAAGTGGGTTAAGAAGTGCTTGCTGCCCTTCATCAGGAGGCAGAGCCGCAGGTCTGACGAGAAAGACTGGGCTTTGGGGCCCTTGTCCTGGGTGTAACCATTGCCCTCTGGTTACAGCTGCATGCATTTGCGCTATAGCTCAGGAGGCACAGGAGTGAAAGGAAGCTAAAGATGAGTACATTTAGAAGGGATTTCAGCCAGAGTTTGGATTGGATGGGTGTGTCTTGCATACTAGAACCTCGTGTGCAGGAAGTGCATTTGTGTGTGGTGAGACTTATATATGTGGCTTTGTGGTGAAAATGCCAACTAGGTTCCAAATCCCTTAGATTGAGAGTGTGGACTCACGGCAGGAGCAGCCTGTTAAAGAACAGAGATCTGTAAAGTCACAGACAAGTTAACTTCTCCACTGGCTTCCGTAACAGTGAGTGTCCTCGTCTTCATGAGGGTACCTTCCTCTCATCACAGCGAAGGTTACTGTTAGTGCTGGTTAACTGTCACTCGTTGAGCACCTGCCTACTGTGCCAGCCATCTACATGCATGTCATTTAATTTTCTTAGCCCTAAGAGGAATACTGTTTTTATCCCCATTTTACAGATGAGAAAACAGGCTCAGAGCTAAAGTAAACTTCCTTATGATTTCATGTAGTAAAGTCAGGATTTAAACTGTAGCCTGAATCCAGAGCCTGAGCACAGGTTTACACGGCCTCCGAGATGAGTTAAGGGGAAGGATGTGCCAGTCTTAGGTGGCTTGTCATTGTGCTCCATAGACTGGAGCTAGGTGTTTGTTCTGAAGTTTGAAAAAGGTATTTTTGGGACTTCCCTGGTGGCACAGTGGTTAAGAATCTGCCTACCAATGCAGGGGACACGGGTTCAAGCCCTGATCCGAGCCCTGGTCCAGGAAGATCCCACATGCCGCGGAGCAGCTAAGCCCGTGTGCCACAACTACTGAGCCTGCGTGTCACAACTACTGAAGCCTGCGCGCCTAGAGCCTTTGCTCCTCAACAAGAGAAGCCACCACAATGAGAAGCCCACACACCACAACTAGAGAAAGCCCGCGCAAAGCAACGAAGACTCAACGCAGCCAAAGATGAATAAATAAGTAAATAATTTTTTTTAAGAAGGGGAAAAAAGTTTTTTTTCCAAACTGGACAACTTACTACAAGGTATAATAAGGGATTTAGGTCTAATTTAGATAATAAAATAAATCCTTCCTGGTGAGAGAGAATAAAAGCCTTCCTGGTGAGAGATTATGTCATGCATTATTCAGTTTCAGAATTTGAGTTGCAGAGTAAAACGAATTGGTGTCTCAAAGAAGGCTCAACAGAGAATATCCAAGCCTACAAAGCTCTGTCTTTCTCTTCAAAGGTTCCTTTGCCTTTAGTGGAAGCGGGACTGGCTGAATTTGGTGGTTACACAGCATACGGAGGCATGTGTGTATGGAAACCTGGCTTTCCTGGCACCAGATTTCTGATTTATTCCAGTCATGTTTTAGTGCCCCTCAAAGATGAACACTGCAGGAAGGGGCTCAGCTGCCTCTCGCCCCTAGTGCAGCTTTAGACGATGACTATGGGTAGGTAAGCCCCTGCTGTTCACCACCAGGATCAGCAAATGGTCTCTATCACTCAGGTGAGCACAGTGCTGCTGAGGGATGCAGGGATGAGAAGCAACTGTTGGTTTCCCCAGAGTCCTGTGCCCCTAATAGACCACCTGCTAAGGAGGGAGGGGATGACTCTTCCCCTCCCCAGGGTGGGAGAGGGTGATGAACCCTATGGAGAAGGACCTATTGACAGAAAGCAATAGGTGATCACAGCTCAAGGTCAGCTGTTCGGTGACTGCTTGCCTAAAATATGCTCATCATTATCAACTCAGAATTTTAGAGTCTAGGAGGGTTGGTAAGATCCTGCCTGGATCCCTCATTTTGCTTGCAAGCAAACCATGGCAGCGGGGACTTACTTCTACTACTTTCAACTAACATGGATTGAACATGTGTGAGTAGAGATGAGTGAAACCCGGGGTGTCAGGGAGGCTTCTAGGGAGATGATGTTTGAGCTGAGCATTGAAGATCAAGGAGGGATTTGCTGTGTGAAGGACTGTGGGCCATGGTTCTCCAGGCAGAAGAACCAGTGTGAGAGAGGCATGGAAGGAGGACGAGGGGATGGCTGGGGGGTGGCAGGAGGGAGGAATCAGAAAGGCAGAGTCCAGGTCCCACACGGTGAGCTCTGCTGGGGAATTTGAAGCTACCAGGGAGCCAATGAAGGATTTGTTTTCCTTACTTAAAAAAAAAAAAAAATGTATACAGCCATTCTTATACAGCAACATTGGAAAATCCAGAGACATATACCTCACACAGACACGCACCCTCCTCACCCAGAGTGGGGAGACTTCCTCGGGGAGATTTCAGGCACGGCAGCGACTGATCAGATTCAGATGTTAGAAAGTCCCCCTGGCAGCAGATGAATGAGGCAGTCCCTGACCTCAGGTGAGTCTCGAAGCAGGAGAGACAGGTGTTCTAGTGTACTCTCACACAGTTTAGCAAACCTGGAGGTAAGTCCAGATGTAGAGAGAATATGGAAAAGAAAGTTCCTTAGTAATTCTATCTGTGAGAGGGAGGGGTGCTAAGAGGAGAGGGTCATGGAAAGCTTCAGACCTTTGATGTTTCCAAATGGCGGAGCAGGGGCCCTTCAAGCAAGGGCAGCTGCAGGAGTAAAGGGGGTTAGGGTGGATTAAAGGCCCTGGCGATGATGTTGGGGGTGGTAAGAAGGCTGGAGTGCTCACCTACCGTATTTGGGTAGTATCTGTAGCCATGGAGTGAAATTGCTGGAGGAATTGTATGTGGAGGCTTCTACCTCTGAACTGGGGTAGAGGTGCAGTTCCAGAGTCAGCCAGCAGGCAGGGCCCTGCTCCCATCCTTGCAGCTGCCGTAGGAGCCAGTGTGAAGACCCAGGGTTGTGGGTGGCAGATGATAGGAAGGGAAAGCATCTGGCTGCTTGTCAGGCACCCTGATGGCACTTTACGTGTTTTACCTCCCTAAATTCTCCCAACAGCCCCGAGAGGAGGTTGGTTGAGTCCGACTTTATACCTGGAGAACTTGAGGCTCACAGAGTGCACAGCGGTCAAGTGATAAACCAGCAGTTTGAACCTGGACCTGCTGTTTAGGATGACGAAAAACACAGGGGAGCTCCTGACTCAGGTTGCTGTCCCTGCCTGTGCTTGGGGTCTGTGAGAGACTCTGGATTTTGGTCCCTTTCTTATTTTTCTCTTTCTCAGTTTCCTACCCCTTCTATCTCCATCTCTGGTCCCTTTTGGGGCCCATGGGGCTCCAAGTGCTGTCTCCATACCTGGGCCAGGCTGGGTGACTGAAGCCCCCTCCACACACTATTGCACTCAGGGCCTGGGGACAAGGTTACTGGCAGGAAGTGCAGGTGAGATGTGGAGAGAGGCTCTCAGGAGAGAACCTCTGATGACCAAGTCCCCCAGCCTGCCTGCCTCGGCCTCCCCTCCACCCCCACCATTACCGCGGTCTTCCTCCACAGCCAGGCCGCCACTTGGGCCTGGAGCCTGTTTTGCTGCGGTTATGCCCTCTCCAACTGACAGACACCATCAAGACAGTCTCTCCGCCAGACCTTCCTCAGCAGTGTTCTATTCATCGTCACTGCTCTCAAAGGGAAACAAAACCAAAACCTCTTTATTCCACTTTCTCACCAGGTACCACAGCTTCCTCCTGTTTCTCTGTTCCACCTTGTTGCACTACAGCTTCCGGAAAGAATTGTCTCACCTGTGTCTTCACTCTCCTCCACTTGCTTGTGAATTGACTCCAGTCAGGTTTTTGTCCTAACACTCCATCAAAACTGTGCCTGCTGATGACTCCAGTCAGTCGTGTTCACTGCTCTGCTCGGAACGCTCCAGAGGCCCCTCATTCCCTCCGGCCTGAGAGCCAGTCTTTTCACTGCTCTGCACCCCCTCCCATTGCCTCTCTGTCCTCCCGCCTCTCTCCCCCTTGCTCATTCTGCTGCAGCCACCACGGGGTCTGGCTGGCCCTTCAGCCCTCAAGGCACACTCCCACCCTGCCCCTGTGGCTGGAACTCTTCTCCCAGATGGCTGCCTCCCTCACTGCCTTCAAGTTGAACAAGAGGAAGACAGGCCCTGACCTCCAGAGGCTGGCCTGGCTCACACAGCTGGGC